TGAACCTGACCTCAATCTCCCCAGACTCAACCCAAGTTCCCAAGCTAGCCAGCCACAACACCGTGAAGTCCTTAGGGAGGTGCCAGCCTCATCCTCTTGAACCTCCCATGCTCCTGCTGTGGAGTAAGAACACGCTTATCTCCCTGAGCCTGGCCTTCATAAGTCCATTCCATCACAAAAGCAGTGTTTTTCAAACTCGGTCACCTGAAGATGTGTGGGCTTCAACTCCCAGAGCAAGCTGGCTGGGGATTTCTGGGAACTGAAGTCCGCACATTTTCAAGCGGCCAAGTTGGAGAAATGCTGATCTAAATTGATCTGGACCTCGGCATTTGCCAGGTATATCGCCTTCCTCCTAGAAAACCTTACCTTCTTTTTCAGCTCCACACTAATGGCATTGCCTTCCTTCAGGTAGACTGCATTGCCCCACAGCTGGTCTCTTAAAGACGTAAACTGGTGAAACTTCCATTTGCGGAAAGCCCACTGGGCAAGGTCGTACTCGTGCTGAGTCCAAGGTGCTGCAAAAAGCAAGATCCAAAACCCACAAGTTTAGTTCCTAACGTATTGTCGAAGTTCCTAACATTTGCACTAAAGCAAGGGCCTTTTCTCTGGTGGCCCCCCAGGACTATCTCAAAGAAGTGTGGCTAGTAGGACATGACAACACTTCAGTGCCGGGTTGAAGTTTGCTTTCTCCAGATATTTTGAAGGATGATGTTGCTTAGGTTTGCTTGTGATTTTTGCAGGCTTTTGGTGGCCTTTTTTTCTTGAAACTCTTAGAAAGGAACGTTGTTCTCCTGCATGGCACCAGCGCTTACACCTTACAAATGTAGTAACGCTTAGAGAAGTGGCAAAAATTATGGTCTCAAAACTATAAAATGACAATGTCAACTGCATATAAAGAAAACTTGTATAAGATGTTTTACAGGTGGCATTTACCTCCAGCAAATTATATATATATAATCAATGGATAAAAATGATATAAATCCTATTATGAAAGCTGGTGTTATAGACTAGTAACAAATGAATAATAATTGATAATTGATAAATATATAAATATGTGTTAGATAGATGACATGAGATTTTATATAAATGATGAGTGAAGATTATGAAAGGATGGCACAAATGATCGGTAACTGGCTGACACACGGTTTGAAATGGAAGATGGTTTTTTTATGCTTTTTCTGTTATTGTTTGTTTGTGTTTGTTGTAAAAAATAAAAAATTTATTAAAAAAAAAACAAATGTAGTAACGCTAATAATGATGAGTGAAGATTATGAAAGGATGGCACAAATGATTGGTAACTGGCTGACACACGGTTTGAAATGGAAGATGGTTTTTTTATGCTTTTTCTGTTATTGTTTGTTTGTGTTTGTTGTAAAAAATAAAAAATTTATTAAAAAAAAAACAAATGTAGTAACGCTAATAGTCACAGTAATCATTTCTAAATCACAGAGTTTATGTCTAATTGGGCAGGTCAGCCACAATGTGGTGCAGGAAAGGAAATCAGTGGAATACACTGGAAAAGAGGGAGTAAAATGAAAAGAACCGCTCCAACTCCCCAAGTCCCCTTCGATTCCCGGTTTGAGAAGCTGGGTTCCCAGCCCAGCCCGTTTTCAACATCACCCAGAACTCACCCTCCTCTTCCTCTTCTTCCTCCTCCTCCTCCGTGGTCTCGGCAGCCAAGGACCGGGTCTCCACCTGTTTCTGCAAGGCCTGGAGCTTACTTTCATAATCCTAAAGGGAAAAAGAAGATACCGTCTAGGAGAAGACAACAGAAAAGTGTGGGGAGGGGAGAGGGAGAGGAGGAGCACAGAGGGAGGACACGTGTCATCCTGTACTCCAGGGAGGAGTATGTAAAAAACTAAATGGAGAACAGACAGGGAAGACCCTGCTGCGTCTCCAAGAGATTAGCTGCCTTTTACAGCAACTCAGCGATAAAGAGGCCTGCAGGCATCGCTTTGTCAGACCTGGAACTTTTCTTCTCCTGCGCAGCAAGCTAGGCGGCTTGGGAATATGGCATCACTTTCACAGCCGCCGACTACCTTTGGCCTGAGCAAGGGGCGTTCAGGAAGGCCAAAGGACACTTCCTTGCGCGCCTGGCTACGCGCTGAAAGAAATGAACCCTGTTTACAGTGCTCAGGACTGACAGACGTTGTTATCCAGGGCAGGTGGTGAAATGGATGCAAATCCAGCCTTAAGGCTCTCTCTTGACTGCAACCCACGCCAGTGTTTGGGTGGGAAGAAGTGCAGAATACACCCTGAAAGCTCGGGTTGGTCAGGGGATCCAAGGCCCCAGCGCAAATCCAGCCGCTTCCATTTCAAAAGAGCCAGGTTCTTGACCTCAGAGCCCCACCATCTCTTCTCCCATTGCTAATCAGCCTTCATGCTCTCGAACGAGGCTTTTCTCAGGAGATTTCACAGCTGAGATGAGATGGGGGTCTTGCACACACAGCATTGCTCTGATAAGGGTTGATGGTTCACCACGTCCTGGAGAAGCTACAATGGGCTTGGGATGAAACTGAACACAAAAATGGTGTTCTAACGAGTCGACATTGGGGACTGTATAATATCTCTGCCACCCGAGCAATACGGTAATGGAGAGCCGGCTGGATTATTGGAGTAGCTTTAGACTGGTCACTTTTCTCGTAGATGTATAGCTGAGGGTGCCGTAGCTCTACATAGAAGCTAAATGCTGCATTTGACAAACTATAATAATTATTTCTAGCAGGGGATTGATTCAGACTACTTGGAAAGTCCTTGTTATTACTGCGTTTCAGTATCTAAAAGGATCTCTTGGCTGTTATTGTAAAGATATTTTTCTCCAGGCATCAGGAGCGGCTTAATCCAGCCTTCTCCAACCTGGTGCTCTCCAGATGTATACTGAAACAACTTCCCTCAACCCAAGACATCGTGGTCTCTTCAACCAGCACATCAGGAAGACACCGAGTGGGGGAAGAGTGGCTTTTTTTCCCTAGACAGAAAAATATCTGAGGAATGCTGTAACATGAAAATTAATTCTTGCGGATTTTTCAGGAGAGGAAGATTACACTGCCACTTACATGATCCTTAAAAATCCACACAACCGTATCATCCTATTTTTACATTTCTAACACACACGCACACACACACACACACTTCCTCAAACATTCTTCCTGATCTCTGGATGTTTTGCTATGTTCTCAGTGCAGTCCTGGGCAAAGGAGTTACAATGCCCGCTACAGCAGCGGGACTCACAATTTAAGAACTTGGAAAGGATCCCACTGGATCCTTCAGATGGTGGGAGTTAGGAATGGCTGGGACAGGGCCTTCTGCAGACAGCTCTACAATTCCTGCTCCAAAACAGCAAATTTGGTTATATTAATTCTACATTATGTGAAGGAATTTCATTTGCCCCTTTCTTCCATCAGATTCCTCTAAAGTTCTGGAGTTAACGGAAGAAGGGGAAGCGAGTGAACTAACCACGTTCTCCACGCTGTTCGGTTTTAAGAAAAAAAAAATCAGCCCTTTGGGTTTCCAAAAGCTGGCATTTTACTTCCCAACCAAAACAACATGACAGACTTAAGAAGAATATTTTGTAGTTTATTGAAATGACTTGTTAAAAAGCATGAGCAATTCTGCTTTTCACAAAATGCAGGCTTGCCCTCTTTAAAAAACAACAACAAAATAATCAAAACCACTTAAAAACAACAGATGGACAGATTTTTCAATTCCATCACCTCACTGGAAGAAACAATTTCTCCTTTACAGTAATCATGAATAGGTTCACACCCAGAAGCTTCTGAAATTATTTCAAAGGCAACCTAACTAGAGCATTAAAATATATCTATCTCTCTATCTATCTTGCTTAACAATCAAGAAGGAGAAGAAGGCACAGAACGGGCTGAAGAATCTAGCTGAATCTATTTTGAGGAACGCAAATACTTTCCGTACAAACTTGGATAGATTCCTTAATTAAGGCCAGTTAAAATGAGGATGAGGATGACGATTGAGAGAGAGAGAGAGGGAAAGAATGAAAAGAGAATTTAGAAAGCAGGCACAGCTTCCTCTGTTGTCTGCTGTCCAATCTAACCATTAGTAAGGCCATCTCAAAAATGAATGCTTGCCGTTCAACCCTCATTTCCGTGAAATCACCAAATGACATTGTTAAAACAGAAGCCCTCTCCTTGGAAGAAAGAGGATGAGCTACAATCCTGTGGTCGTTGATAGAGAAAAGATCTCAGTCAGTTCAATGGGACTTATTGAGGAGTAGGCCCTGCAATGTGAAGGAGGGGAATCAGGGATGGAAGACCTTCCCCACCCACCACCCACCCCTACACCGACTTTTAAAACAGCTTCAGGAGCAATTTCTCCATAACACAAAGACAACAGCTGCGGTGAGCTGAGCAGGGCGATACTCACACCTTTGGTGGATCTGCTCAACTGATCTCCACAGAGGAGCTGAACTTGAAAGGGAGCCAGGGGGTGGAGTGGGGCCAAGAAAACTGAAATGAAACAGCAGCACAGTACAGGATCAGGGATCCTCAGCTCCTCCCACCCCCGATATTTCACTAGCCATCTCAGCTTCCCGGGTTGATGTTCAAGAACAAATTCTCCTCCTAATTCTCTTTAACAGGTATGAATAGGATTGAGCATAGAATTGGAGGGGAGAGAGACAAGTATGCTTGCTTTAAAAAAATAATAAAACTCTTGTATTCTTTCCTGAATCGCTCATTTAACATGTGAGGATCAGACATTGCTCCACTCCCCTCTCTCTGGCGAAACCCTATTCTACATGAGAGAGTTCCCGTTGTTCACAGGCCTGAAACTCTTTGCTCCCTTTACGTCGAGCAAATTGTTCTTCTGACTATGAAACAGGCAGGAAAAAGACTTCCCTCCCCACTGAAACAGACCGCGAAAAGGTTTAGCTCCAGCTGGGCTTCAAAATCAAATGTACTTTTTAATGTACATGCCCTTTTTTTAAAGGGGAACGCTTTAACCCAGTAGGAGAATAATGTTCCAAGTTCATGGAGATTCTGACAACTCACGCTGGACCTTCCTCGTTGGAAACGCCACCAAAAGGCTTGTTTTTGCAGAAGAAAAACAACAGGACCTTTCTTTACAGAATATGTTCATTCCCCCTCTCTACATATGTGACTGTCACATACACTGATAGTCCCTGCCCGCGGCTTCTGCTTGCCCCGGGTTCTGCGTTCCTGCAGACAAACCTACTTGCCAGTTTGTGGAGTTGCTGAAGCCCCTAGAATAGATTGGCAAATGGAAAAGCTTTCCAATGTGGGGGCATCTTGAGCCGAGGGCGGAAACAGCCTGGCATCTGTTTTGTGAGGAGGAGGGGGTCACTGCACGCGCAAAGAGGTCCTTAAGAGAGTCCTGCCTGTGACTGGATGGGCATCATAAACTGCCTGTCGGTCAGAGGGAACCTAGAGGGAACCTAGGAAGAAACAATTGGAGCCACGCAGGTTCCCTGTTCTTTTGGAGATCCGACTCCTTACACCTAGCACGTGTCTCTCCCCTTCCCATTACCCCCAAAAGCAGTAAAATTTCCTGCTCTCCGGCGTGTTTTAGGATACGCCCCCGTAACACAAATGAGAACTTAAGAAGAACGAGTTGCCCTGTCTTCCTCATCTGCCCCAGTTCCAAAGCTTTAGGGGTGACTTCTACAACATGGATTATGAAAATGAAAAACCCAAGACGCGGAGGAATTCAATCCGCCGCTCGAGGTCAGGCTCTTTCATCTAAAGTGAAAGGCTGTGCAGGTCGCTGTCAAGACCAAGCAGATCGGTCTTGTTGATTGTCCAACGGGCCACACAGATGTGGGTTAAAATGTCCCTACAGGTATTCCCATTTGCGTTCATTGCTTTTCCCCTAAAAAAGACGATACACTGACAATTCCCAAACTTACGTAGTGGCCTTCTCTCAAGGCCAAAGTAAGAGAATTCTGCAATTTTTTTTTTTTTTTTAAAAACACCATTCCCAAATGTTTCACAGGCAGTAACAGACAGGTAGAAAATGTGCGGTCTTGTGCTTTGCGTGTAGATCACTAACTGCACACGTCCTCTTTCGAAGCCCAAGGTCAGCTGCGACAAGACACTCCCCACGCCACCCCATCCCACCCCTTCAGGATTGGCACAGCTCTCTCTCCTCGGCCCTCTGGGAAGTCAAACGGTCGTTTCTCGACTGGCTTTGAGATTGGGGGCAGAGAACTGCCGCCTCATGCGCGGAGGGGTCACAAACTGGTTGCAGGGGCTCGGCCGATCTGCCTGTCTCGTTCGACCACCGGCTGCGCCGTTCTCGGGGTGCGCAGTGGGGCCGCGGTCAGCGCAGTAAGACTGCCAGTGCTGGTGCACGTGGCGCCTCTGGTGGAACGCCTGCAGGTCTTGGCTGGGGCTTGCACCCGGGGAGGGCAAGGACTCGGCGGAGGAGTCCGACGTCTGGCGCCGGAAGCCCCTCTGCTGGCTGTTGAGGGAATGGCTCCTCCAGCGCACGGGGGCAGAGGGGTACGGCTGCAGGTGGCGGGGCGGGGGCTGCGCATTCAAGGGCTGCCTCTTGATCTGGATCTGATCGGGAGCCTTCTGCGGCCCGGGCCCGCTCCCGGGCGGAGGAGAGTCCTTGGGGAGCGCGGGGGCTTTGGCAGGCAGGGCTTTGGGCTCGCCTGCCTCCTCCGCCGCCTCCTCCTCCTCCTTGGGGATCCTCACTTCAATGACCTCGTCCTCGGTGATGATGATGTGAGTGCCCGGGCTCCAGGAGTTCCTGTGGGTCGGGTTGCTTTTGAAGGGGAAACGGGGCTTACGGTTCTCGGGGGGGATGAAGCGGTGCGGCGTGTTCTGCCGGCGGAGTTGCTTCGCGATCTCCTGCTGCTGCAGGTTCTTAAACCGGATTTGCTCTTGCCGCATCCAGCGCAGCCTCCCGCGCCGGAAGGCAGGGTCCTCCTCCATTAACTGGGAAACCCGGTCCTCCTTCATGGAGCTGCTTCTCCCACCGTGGTTCACGTTTTCGTCTGCATCTGCCAGACCGGTGGCCTCTTTCAGTTTCGTGGCGGCCGTGGCGGGCGGCCCTTTCGGTTCTTGGGAGCTCATCAGCGGCAAAACCTTCTCCATCTTGAGCATTTTGTTCCTGAGGACCTTGATCTCTTCGTCCTTCAGGTTGTTCTGCTTTTTCACCTCTTGCAGAATATCTTCAAGTTTGTCGATATGGACCTTGAGGTCGTCCACGTCAGCGATGCCCTTCCCGCTGAGCAGGATATCTTCGATCTTCTCGTCGCCCACCCCCACGGTGTCCCACACGTCTCGGGCCACGGCGCGCCACGAGTCGCGCTCGTTGGGGTCCTTCTTCCCGTACATGGCGCAAAGTTCTTTCATCTTCACGATGGCCAGGGCCTCAATCTCCTGCCGCGTGTGCCGGAAATCGTTGAGAGCTACCTCGTAGCAGATCTCCTTTACGGCCTGGATCTTCAGGTCTGAAACGGTGACCCATCTGGAGTCTTTGCTAAGCCGCCGGCGCTGAGGTATCTGATACATTTTTATGGGCTCTCGTTTCTTTCCACTGCTGGGGAGGCCACATTTTTTAACAATGGTTTGTAACTTGCTGGGGGGCAGCTTCTCTCTCAGGGAAGTAATCAGCCGCCAGCTCTCCTCACAAGACCGCTTGTCCGAGTCATCCCCACTATCAGAGTCTGCATCCTTTGGAAAACAAAAACAATCGAGAAGTGGCCCCAAAATAACCAAAATTAAAATTGGAGAAAAGAAGGAAAATTCTGAACAAGGAAAAGAAAGGACAACTAAAAATTATGAAAATGATTTGGGGAAGAAGCAAAAGGAACAAATGATGTGAAAATCTAACTGCACTCTTAAACTTATCCCTAACCAGTCTTCGGTAGATTTCTTTAATTCCAGCCACATCTAAATTTCGTGGTACTTTAATTCTCATCCAAGAATATTCCAAGACTTTCCAAAATCCAATCCATATGAAACTCTTAGAAGAGCCAAAACCAAGTACCTGTAGAAAGGTGGACGTAACACTTCATTCATGCTAACGATGTGCAAAACCCGTCAAACATTTTTGCCTGGTTACAGCTGCCAAGTTATTTCATTAGGGGAAAAAAAATCTTCTCTCCGCAGGGGGTGATACCTGACAGTCATCGCAGAATGATCAGATGAACAGCCAAGGTTAGAGGTTGAGTTAACACTGGTTAGTAAATGCTGTACACGTGGTGCAGGAACACTCAGATTGACAATCCATTCAACTAGAAAAGCAGCCGGAAAAGGGTTAGAGAATACGAGAGAAACAAGTTCAGGAGCAGCCAAAAGTGCCAAAGTTAGAAGTAGTGTGATACAGTGGTTAAAATGTTGGACAGAGGAAATCCAAGTTGAAGTCCACCCTCAACCATGGAAACTCCCTGAGCGACCTTGGGCCAGTTCCCCTCTCTCAACCCAATCTATCTCATAGCGTTGGAAGAAGGAGGACTATACATGCCCTCTTGAGCTCCTGGATAAAATGTGGGTTATAAATCTGACAATAACAAATGAACAGTGTAAATGCCACCACAAAAATCTTTCGGGCTCCAAGGAGGAACTGCTACAAGCCAGCAAAAAAGGCTAGCATGTTGTTTCAAAGGGTTTTCCATTTGCCAGTGATTCTTGGTTAAAGGTAGAGATGCCTTTAAGTTATTATCAATGATCCTAAAGATGCCCGAGACTTTTGAAAAACGGAATTTCATTCAAGTTCTCTACTTCAATGCTTTCAGCCACCTTTCCACATCTCATTGTCATGCCTCTTATAAACTAATTAACCGACCCAATAAGTTATATCTGACTGTTGCAAACTTCATGCTTTTTCTTTGCTGCAAAGTAAAATGCTTCTATATTAGTAAAATTGGTGAGAGTTAAGGAAACCATTCCAAACAAGCTTCAAATAAACTTTCCCCTGATGTTCCAAGAGTGGTGGTAGGGTATTAAGTTTTTTTTTCAGGGTAATATAGTGGCAGGTCTTCAAGACTCGCTCAGGTTAGCTAACCCTGTGCTGGGGCTTTCCAGATATCTTTAATCAAATCACCTAATCTCTCAGCCTAAGCAGATCTTTGAAGTCCAATGCATGTTGAGAGTGCTAGTTGGAGACACTTAAGAATGAAGACTAACCTCCCTAAAGTCTTGGAGCCCATTTCTCCTGTATTTCTGATTGACCCATGGGTGTGTGCGCGCGTGTAGCAGCTATAATAATTGATAATCAAGAAGCCAACTCAGCAAAAGAGGATTGCATAAGAGAAGGCTCCAATTGTTGAGGAACAGCTTCAACGTAACAGCATCCAGAAAGTTCATAGATTTTTCAAGGAACCTGAATGGTACCCAATCCAGCCAACTGAGTTTTCTTTTAAAAAGGTTTTGGGGAGAACCACTTTCTAATGATAACCAAAGAGACTTGATGGTCTTTTCACAGACCAGGAAGCTGAAAGGTAAAAACTGCTTTTGTAGCAACCATCTCACCACCTTGCTTGTTTGTGGTGAGATGTTTCTGCAATGTCAATTATGTGAATGCTTGATTTGCCAACACCAAAATCTCACTTTTTGTGTTAACCCCCACCGGCACGTGCATCAACATTTCTCTTGCTAAGGATTCAGACTCCATGCAGGGTGGGGCAAAGGCAGAAAGATTAACGCATGCATCACTGCAGCAATCATTCTGGAGATCCCGTTGGAGAAAACCTGGCAGACCAATGAATCCAGGAGCCTCTTCTCTGTAGGGCAGAGTTAGTACTTGGTGACTCTTTAAGACAAACCCAGGCAAATCTCCATAGTCATTAGGAGGGACCAGATCACTTCAGAAAGGTCTGGAATTGGGTGTGAGGCACAGAGAAACAATAGTTCCTTCTGTCTGCTGAAGAACCTCAACTCAGTGTGGACTGGAGAGATTCCAACATGTTATGGGCCTGAGGCATGGTCAATGTAAGACCAAAACAGCACACTAATAGCAAATAACAGCTAACTCTGGGAATAGGCAGAGAAACGTGGCCTGGTATAACAGGGACACCTACCAGCCTCTGCTGCTCCAGTAAGAGATCTGCTTCTTCCTTCTCCTTCTTGTACAGAATCTCCATCTCTTGAAGTCTGCAGGGAGAAACAGGAACTGCTTATATAGGACACCATCACCCTGCGATAAGTAGTGTTGGAACTGGACTCGTGGTGCATCTCCTCCCTGAAGGGCCAATTTGCCCATCTAAGAATCCTCTGGGAAGTAAGAACTTGTTACAGTTGCTCCCATTTACAGTATCTTAACAAATGATTTAAAAATGTGTTTCAGAGGTGTGGGTGAATAAATCAATGGCCATGGCAGATATGCCCAAGTAGGCCAATTTGGGGAGATGAGACTGAAGCTATCAATTTATTTCTTTAAGGAAAGCGTTCAAAACTCTTCCAGAGCTACAGAGGTGGAGATCTGGCAAGAGAGCATCACAAATTTGTGGTCGTGTGTCATTTATTCTCTATTTGTTTGGAAGCCCAGAGCGCCATTTTGCAAAAGCAGGTGAGACCCAAGTCACCGTCAAGACAGCATGACGTTTCAACAGATGTACAGAACCTCCTGAGCTGCAGCTCATGGAAGCTGATGCTTTTTAATCAAACGTGTGAGTCGGAAAAGACACTCCCAGACTCCTCCTAATTTTTGGCCACTGTAGACTAACACAGCTCCTCCCACAATGTTTACAGATTTCTAGAAACTTACGTTGTCAGCTTGAGCCGTATTGCAGAGCAAGAGAAACCCAAGTAGTTCGTAAGCAATGCATCTGGCTGATAAATCATAATAGATTCCTCGTCTGAGGGCTGAACAAACCTCTCTCAATAACCTGAAGCACTATTGCAAGGCAGGAAAGAGGGTAACAGGCTAAAAATGAATTTCCATCTGCTGCCATGAAGACTACTTGCCTAGGATTCCAATTAAAAGGAATTACATGTTCTACTTCCGTTTCGCAGGTGCAGATGCAGACTTGGTTTGGCTTCATGTAAAAAGGCTTACCTTTTCTCCATCTCCTGCTTCATATCAATTCCCTGTTTCTCCAGCAATTCTCTCTGGGCAAAAGTCCAGTCGACAGGTTCGGAGGGAGTCTCAGCCGACGGCGTCTTCTCTCTTTCGGCCCTTGCCTGCTCAGGATGGTTGAAGCGGAACACGTGGTTTTTGCCCATAATAATGCGATTTCCTGGATGAGCAATAAAAGAGGATGGCCAAGAGTCCTTTTTTGGAGGACAATCAACCCCAGGAGACATACAATTGTAATTTGGAGCAAGGAAGGGAGGTCTATGGGAAAGAGCACATGGTCTGCCTGCAAAGGACCTCGATTCAGTGCCTAGTTGTGAAGAATGAAGGCTTGGTAAGCCCCCAAAACTCCTCCCACTTACTAGCCAATGCTAACAATAGTGGGCCCAGCAGCCCAGCTGGGATAAAGTAGTGTCCTGCAGGTAAAATGAAGCCCCAAGGTCAGCTCTCAAGACACACTTTCTCATGAAGAAATAGAAATGTTTACCTGAACGCAGCTGGACAGGCTGCACCACCCTCTTGCCATTGACATAGGTTTCTGAGCATTCACACGGTTCTAGGCTAACAATCACTAGAAGGAGAAGAGAAAGCGCTTGGATCACTGTCTGAACAGCTTTGGTTGGGGACGAGAGATCCAACATACATGAAGGGCATGAAGTTGGAGGAAGCTGGCCAGGAAATTAAAAAATCAACCAGCCACCTACTGCTTACCACTGCCGTTGGGGTTCCTCTCACTTCTGAAGATGCAGTGCTCCTCTTTGATATGAGCTCCACTCAGGACAATGTCTTGGCGTCGTTCTGCATCCGCCTGGCCAACCCTGTGTCCGGCAAAGAGGATTTCTAAGGCATTGTTATGGCTTCTAAAAACAGACAAACTCATCTGCTCCAAGAAACAAACACAACGTACATATGGGATCAAAATATTTCAGATCGTGCTCAAACCAAACCTTCAGAGATCAACATCTCTTTTCGCGCGGTTCGGCTGAGAAGATGAAAGAATCCTTTGGTTGTGGAAATAGCTATTTCTAATTGATAAAAATAAAATCTCCGGCCTTCTTTCTGCAGGTATTAATATATATGAATTCACTATTAGGGAAATCGAATCTCCCTGAGGCTGAACTCTGAAGAAACATATGCTATGAAGTCACCTACCAGCATTAATCTGCTCAAAATACCCTGAGTGAAGTTTGTTATTTGCACACCAAATCTTTTATTTGTAGGCCATGAGGAATACTGGTTGTGTTTAGCAACCATGTTTGTTCAGGAGAAGAAGATTCAGAAGTTCTCATTTGCAGCTCGTTCAGAAACATAACTGAAAGTCTTAAACTAGCCACAGTACATCACGGTAAGGGTTTCAGTATGGATAAAACCACAAACTGTTAGCCAAAAACATATATAAAGGTAAAGTGAAAGGGACATAAAAGCCTGGAAAAAGACTAGATTTTTCCTAAATTGGGACATTTATGACAATTATTGTTTTTCCTTCTCACTGTAGCCCTGCAAGGAAAATACAACTCTTCTCTGTCTACATTCTACAGGCGTATACATATTTGGTAAAAAGCTCCTGAAATTCTAAATTTGACAAGAGTTAATCCCACACATATCAATAAGGACATAGATAATTAAGGTGGCCAAAAACTTAATAAAAATGGATGTGGTCTGGAAAAAGGGAGAACGGGAGAGCTTGTCCTCGCGAGATGGGTGGTGCCTAAATTCGAAATATAAATAAATAAATAAAAGTGGACGGTTTCTATTTATCATGCTGCTTCTTACCTAGTTATACCATCTTTGATGTAATAAAGTAGGCACTCTGACATCAGGGGATCCTCATTCAGGTTTACGAGATGAGGTGTCTGAAACAAGAATGGCATTCCTTTAATCACACTCTCTCTTCCCCATGAAGGCTTCTTACAGAAAGACCTGGCAGTTTCAAAATCCAAATGCAGATTTTGCCCTCCAAGGAGAAAACCAGTCTTTTCTTGAATGAATGAAATTTTATTGCAATACAGAAAGAGAACAGGATCATAGGAAGAACATCAAAACCCTTCACATATCTGGACAGACAGGATGAAATGAGTTAAAAAGAATTTACTGGACACTTTCGTAATTGAGTAGAAAAGTTAGGAATGTGTAGTCCATCTGGCATGGAAACTGCTAAACTGAGGAAGAATTGTCTACTTGGCATCCAAATGATCTCATCCGATTTTGCGGAGGAAAAAAAAAGTTGTGGAATTTCTACTGAGCAACCATTTCACAGATTGCAGGGATCGCTCTTGCTTTCAAATGTCGGCTTGGCTGGAAAGTCACAGACACCTGTTTGCAGCAAACACTCTTAACGGGATCTAAAGCTACTACAGTCACTCAACCAACCTTCTTTGGGGAAAACACCCCACTGGAATCCGCAAACAAATCGCATGGGCTTGAAGTGGATATCTGGCCAATGAGTGCCAGTAAGAGGAAAAACAAAACATTAGACCAGCAACAAAAATAGGACATTCCCACTCAAGATTCCCATCAGGCAGCTCTAGCTTGTAAACTAGGGGCAATTTGTTCTGAGTTACAAATGCCAGTTCTAGCATAAAATGGAAGTACAAGAACTGAAAGGAACAGATTACCAACAAGAGAAAGGGAGGTAACAGCTAACCAGGATGGATATAAAGGGTAAGGAGTAGAGGGATTGAATTCCTATATTCTACTTTCACAAGCTACAACGTCTGCTTAAGCATCTATTTCTGCACAAAGACAAACCTGATCGACTGCAAAGGTATCAAAAGAGTCATCAAACAAAGTTGATGGTCTCTGAGAGAAGATCTACAAAGAAAATCCAGAAGATGAGAGAAAGAGGGAAAAGCGGGCTTAGGACGATGATGAGACAATCATAACATAGTGTGTTCAGCAAGATTCCAGAGGCTTTTGGCTAAGGACATTTCAGGGCACCCACCAGCTATCGATGCAAACCAAGAATTCTCCCACACCATTTCCAAACTGCAATGCTTCAGAAATCTGAAAAGGACTTTGTTGCTCAAACTTTGGGTTCTTCCTCATCCCGGACCTTAATACCTGCCGGAGTCTGGCCTAATGGGATGCAGAAAGCTAGTCACTCCTACAAAAATTATGATCATGGTGTTGTCTGAAGTGGTACATGGTGTGTTTTCTGAAAAGCTCCATTAACCCAGGTGTCCAGGTCTGGCAAACTTAAGCCTCAACATAGTTATAATACAGAGCCTGCCTTCAGGACATCAAGCTGTTAAGAAAGTTGAAGATGTTCACCGTGATGAACTGAAATGGAGTATGAAGAGACTACTAACTCAATTCAGCAGAAAAAGTGGAAAAGGAAAGGGAGGGAGCGGGAGGTCAACAGCTTGAACAACAGCAGCCAAGATTTCTGTGGTTAGACCCATCTGAGGTTGGCTTAGTGACGGACTTACATTCAGGAAATTGAAGACATGACTTACAGTGCAAAATGAATGAATTCTTAACCCAAGAGTTGGATAATCCAATGAATTCTTAATCCAAGAAATTATCTAAGGCCACAACGTGAGAGCCAGAGCAAATAAGAAAGATAACCAAAACCCTAACCCTCGGTGGAATTTCAAACTGGACATTCCAGAGGGCTATCTCAACATCTGGCAGGATCCCAAAGAAAACTAGTGACCGTACAAGACTGTCATCAAATTACAACCATTTATTTGCATCCCAATGGTGGGTGCAATTCTTGAGGTCTGGGCTACAGAAAAGTATCCATGCTTCTATCATGATTGCTTTAATTGATACTGTTATTTTAAATGTCCACAATACAACCACCATCCAACCAGCACCAAACCATCTTTCAAGAAAGAGGGGAGAATACAGGTCCCCTCACAGGGCAACTCACAGCGTCACTATGAGCTGGATTCAAAAGGCTCCTTTCCCAACCTCAAGTTACAGCTCCTCCTGAGAAATGTCAAGTTAAATCCAAAAGCTACTGCTCTCTCTGCAGAACGCCTGGTCCAACGGAGGCACAAGAATGAGAAGCGAGTCTATCGCAACACTGTCAGTTCTGCAGAAAAGCACCAGCAGATTCTTGGAGCCCAGCAGCTGTTAGGAGCTCAGATCGCCCCTCTACCAAATCTTTATGAACCAGTTTCACAGCACTGCATACCTTTTTCGGTGAGAAGACGCCGAGGGTGCCTCCGTCTTCTCGGATGGCAACCCCCATCTCAGCTAACAGAGCTTCTCTATGGAGAATAGACAAGAGAAGAAACATGCTTAAAATTCAATTCTGGGAACCTATATTTCACTATATATATCTCCGTGAATACATATTCACTTCTAGCATCATTTTCTTCCTTTCTCTCAGGATTACAAAAATCCCCAACAACCTCAATGCTATTCTATTGTTTTGGACTGCTGATCCACAGCATTAACCCTTCCCCTTCAAGTCTCTCCAATCTCCCATCAGCAACTCCCTTCAGAACTAGAGTTCTATCTGGACTATAACTTTTTATTCTTAATTTTCCTCCTCACAACCCCAACCTCTCCCTTTTTCGCCTTTGGAAGTTAGGGGTTAAAAACCATCAACTGGAATCCTGCTCCACCTTGATAGTCTAAGTTATGGTAGTCTTAATCATCTTCTAAGGTAATGATCAAGATGATTTGGGGGCCTAACCTCTCCATCCTAATTGCTTCGGTCTTCCTCAATTTCTCCTCCCATGTTTCATTCAGCTCTGCAATGATTTTCTCAGATTCCTGGAAAAAGAATGAAAGATTTAGATTATATATGACCAAACATGGATTTCTTTCTAGGCTCCTCAGCATAACACATTTAAATTTAGCCAAATGTAAACTTCAAATAGGAACATCAAGGCAAATAATCAGAACGGTCAGTGAACAGAGTGATCCCCTGGAACCTGGAAATGCAAAGCATTTCTAGGTAAAGCTTTTTCTTATGCAGTCACTTTGCTTTGCTCAGAGAATTTTACAGGGAATCCAGATACTGCCATTTTCAATCTATATTTTTTCCCTTTTCTTTCATCTAAAGCCATAAAAATTCCATGTCATGCGCTTGTAAGATATCCTCATGTTTACAAAGCCAATGATTTTTAAATATTATCTGACCAGGCTACCAACTCTAAAAAGAACTGCAGCAGAATCCTATCCTATGCCAAAACTTGGCAATATTCTGGCCAAACGCCTGGGCATTGTTGTTCAAAAGCCCTGATAACTTGTTCTCTAATTAACTTTCTTCAGCCCGAGAAGGATGGAATGTAGCACAGGGTTTAATCGAAGGGCCCATGTCGCCAGAAGCCACCACATTAGATGCATATTGTTGTTTCTGCTTGAGTCCATGCACATATCCATCACAGGTGCATCCATCCCTCACAAAATATGGGGTCAGCAGACAGAATGCTGGCCAACATCTTCCCCTTGCAAGAAGGTGATCCGGCAGGACATCAGCCATATTTCAGGGCCTTCAGCTTCCTCTTTACTGCTGAAGGAAGTTCTAACTATCTTCAGACTATGTCTTCTTCCTTTTTTTTCTGATTGCATCCCAGCTCCTTGTCTGGCTTTCTCTTCCTCGGTTTAACCAAGTTGTCAATATTCTCCTTTCCTATGTCAGGCAACTGTCCCCAAGAGCCACAATAATCCATATGACCCGGGGAAAGTGAAATTTTTTGAAAGGCTTTCACTGCGATACTCAAAAGGGTAGAAGAATCATGCAGAGGCTTTCCTTCAATAGCATCTTCAATAAGACATATACAAAGAGTTGTTTCTTTCCACAGGAATGGGGGGGGGGAAACATTGCTCCCACTCGTATTTCCCTTTAGAACGGACCGTCAACAGGGCTGTTTCTCTGCCACTGAAAGCCGTTAAAGAAAGTGTACAATCACGGGCCAATCAGCTAGGCAGGAGATAAAACACTAGTCGTGGGTGGGCATGCTTGAGTAGAAGAAGAGTCAAATGCCCACACAGAAACGGAAAGGTTTTTCTTCCAGGATCGACAACTCCAGTGGAACAGGAGACATTCTCTACACACTCACTGGCTTGTAGCTTTAATGGCATTTCGAAGCTCACAGTAGAAACGCTGCTGTGAATATTGATGAAAATAGCAAACCGATCCCAGACATGAAGTTGCATATTTGAGATCTGAAGCTGTCCCTTAGTGCCGAAGCAGTCTCTAAGGGTAGAGACGTACCTTGGAGATAAACAAGGATTTTTTTTCTCCTTCCACCTACCCCCCTTTTTTTCTTTTTTAAATACATAAACTTTGTATTCCATCTAGCTCACCCAAACCGCCCTGGAAGCTCCTCATAGTGGAGGGGAGGGGAAGGGAAGGGAGGTGCGGAAAGGCAGCATTCAAAATCGACAACCAAACCAGCTTGCTGCCCCCCCAAGCCCAAAGGGGGGGGGAGGGAAACTTTGGCAAGGCCAAAAGATAAAAGTGCTGGACTGTTGTGCCCCTTGGAGGCCACTCAGCGCGCAGATTCCGGACAAAAGCCTCCATTGTCTGCAGACCGGAGGGCATTCAATGCGCCGCACATTTTAATTAGTGGCGTCTAAGTCTCAAGTCCCTGCGTTACAGATCGTTACAGTGATCCCTAGAGAAATCCACTGTTACATGAATTTTAATGTTTGCTTTTAACTTTTTGGATTCTCCTTAAGGTTGTTCGCCACGCTAAGGACTCCTCTAAGTAGAAAGGTGGGTCTCGATCCAATAAACATTAAAAAAAGATTAGCAGCCACCGGGGCTACTTCGCAAAGCCATTTCCGCAGACATTTTTAACTTTGCTGCTCTTAGGAAGACGGCCTGATCAAGCTGTGTTGTCTGTTTGCTTTTCAAGAGCAATACTAGTGGAATGACTCTAGTAAGATGGTTCTTCCTCTTTTTCTGATTGGGTATTGCATCATCATCATCGTCGGCCGCACAGATGTTTAGACTGGATTTGGCATTTTTATCCGCCCATCGAGTCCTTCCCGAGGACCTGGGATAGGCAGATGTTGTGGCTGTTGTTGTTGTCATTATGCCTTCGAGTCAGTGTTGACTCCTGGCGACTGCCTGGACAAGTCCCTGTAGTTTCCTTGGCAAGATTTTGGAAGTGGTTTGCCATTGCCCCCTTCCCAGGGCTGAAAGAAAGTGACTGGCCCAAGATCACCCAGCTGGCTTTGTGCCCAAGGGAGGCCTAGAACTCCATCTCCTGGCTTCTAGCCTCGTGCCATAACTACTACACCAAACTGGCTTGCATCACATTATTAACTGCCACAAAAGTAGCACTAAGAACTTCCAAAAATACCAAATGGTCCAAGTCTAAAGGGACATACTCATGCTGCAGTCCAACCGATGTTACGAAGGGGTGGTTCCAGGCAAAGCCAGGATGGGCCTCTTGGGGCATTTCACATCCCAGGGTCATACCTTCAAACGTTCAATGGCTTCCTCTCCTCCGGGCGTAGACATGATCCGTTCTTGGATACTGGAGACCGCAGTTAGGCCCACCTGGCTACTGAGAGAGCAGGAAGATGGAGATGCAGTGAGGGAGCCCATGGATGCTGTGGAAAAATGGCCAGGACGTTGATTCTCGGAGGCTAACAAGTATCTGTGTTTATTGTTCTGAAAATCTTTCAGATCTGAGAGAGAGAGAGAGACAGACAGACAGACAAGCAGAAATCCAGGGAAGGGAGAGGCAAGGCGAAGGAGAAAGGAGCAGAAGAAAGGGAAAGAAGAAAGAGAGGGAGGAGACACCAGTATAAGAGGATAGCGCACAAAAAGCCAACAGACAGAGATTCAATACTACTAGGATGGCAGTTTTGAAGTTTTGAAACATAGTTCCCTCCATCCACCTCGCTGCAAACTCAAGTAATCGGAGAGCACCTTGAGCTGGGCACCTTTCCTTGAGCAGCAGCTGGCTTCCTCAAGGGTTCAGTCTTTTATACCTGGGTAGCCTCTTCTTCTATCTAGGCCTGTTCAGGTACAGAGAAAGAGTTTTTCCCATCATCTGCTAACTGATCCTTTCAACAGATGGTACCAGGGATGGGATCAATTACGGGGGTGGGGGTCTGCAGGGTATGATAAAAATCAAATAAAATGGCAGCAGCAATGTGTGCTTGAAGCTCTGCCTCTTTTTTACGTGAGTCGTATGTGCAGCACAATTTTAAAAAAAGGATAGCTCTGATCACACCATTGCAGGCACCATCTTGATCGTCTTTTTCCATATCCAGCAGACACCCTTGGACCAACACCTTTCAGTATGGAGACAGAGGCTCCCGAAATGAATGATCAGATTAGCTGCCGCTGTCTTTGATGAGATGGGATGAGAGCCAAGCATTCAGCACTGGCCATTTTCCTCTTTCCTACACTTAAAATAGGCCAATAGGCAACAGGGCGTTTTTGAAAAAAAAACAGCTTTTAAAACGAGGGGAAGAGTGTAATTTTTGAAGTAGCTGACCTCAGAAAGAAATCACAGCGAGTGGTCTTTCTGAATGATTCGGTATCTCCTCCAGAATATGGGTATGTATGTAATGATGGTTCTGTTCTAATAAACTAATACATCTTCCCCCACCCACCAAAAATATTCCATGGTGCATCCAGAAAGTTTCCCATTTCATTGAACTGAAAGCTCGGGGCACCCAACCTACACACTCTGTTTTCCAGAGCCCAGCAGTTATGTTTCAAGTTGGTTTAAAAACTGCCATCTGCAAATTCAGAAAAGAGCAGGATTGGGGTCAGAGCACAATTAGAACATGCCAGGAGGGCAGTGCAAGGACGGAGCAAAATCGAACATCCTGGAGAAACTCATGCATTCACAGGAAAGAAGGGAGGGCTGACAAATGCCAAGGCTGCTACACAATTGTCACAGAGCACCACACGGTTGGGCCATGCATGCTTCCCTCTCCAAAAGCTGTGGCTGCAGGTGCTTGAATCAAGAGTTAAAAGCCATCAAGCTGAAAGCAGCATGAAAAAAGGGGCCAGAAATACTGGAAATTAAAAAAAAAAAAATGCCAGAAGGAGACTAGATCAGTTACACTTCCAATTCTCTGCATTCAAGGAAATTGCCAACAGATCTCTCTTTCTTGCTTTAAACAGAACGGCAGGGTAACAAGGGAGGCCTTGAAAACAGCAGTTTTGCAAATCCCCCTATACTCTTCTTTTCCTCCACAGAGGAAAAGAGATATCTGCTGGAAACTGCTCAGCCACCTCACTAGCAATCCATTAAACAAAGGCTTCTGTGTGAAGTGTATGATTTGCAGCCTGCCCACCTCTCTGTTAGTGGAATGGGCGAGGATGGGTGAACCCTAGGGAAAAAAAATCTAAATAAAAACAAGCAAAGGGCATTATTCAGCCACAATAGACAGCTGCCATGGTATCAGTGTTCAAACAAGTAACAAAAAATACACGGTATTTTTCAGCTAACAGCAATTTACACACACACACACAGAGTATATATATATGAATGAGAATATACTGCTAAACTGAATGAAACCGTGCACTTTTCAATTTTCTTTGGGTTTGAACTGCCAGGACTGGAAATAAATAGCAATGTTTGTACATACGCACATATATGCATATAAATACAAATTACACCACACTGGATTATCCTAAAGTACTGTTATGGTTCCAAATGTTGGTAGTTCAAATACAAGAGGAATTTAAAATAGTTGTCCTTTATTTCACCCAGTCTATCAGCAGGTTCTCCTATTTTCTTTAAGAGAGGTTTTGATTCTGCACTCTCTCGAAAGCCCTCTCTGGTGGACAGTTAGCCACTAGATCCAGTTCCATTAAATGATTCCATACTCTCAATTTTTTTTAAAATGCTCTCCTGGGATTTCCCTGTAAGGAATTGGAGTGTAAAGTTCAGATGCAGCCAACTCAGCAAAAGCCAAAGATGGAAAAATGGATTAATTCTGCAATACACACATTTGCCTCCACTTCCAGAGAAATCATCCAATGGATCAACTGAAGAAAGAGGTTAGGAGGAAGATACAAGAAGGGTAAAAATACTCAGGATTAACAGTAGACATACAAGAAGAAGAAAAGCCTTAGCGATGGATAAAGAAGAAAGTCAGATTCTCAAATTCAACCCAGTTTCAGCTAATTTGTTACCACACAGAAAAAAAAATCCTCTATCATTTGAGAGCCCAAATCAAATGCTATTTGATTCATGTTTAAGAATTTTTTTCTTCTTTTATCCATTGTTTTAAGGGCAAACGCTCTACGCATATACACCATGTGTTTAAAAAGAATGAACAAACATTTCTTGGCAGATAAACAAGCATCCAGAATTCAAAAACAAGGGTTAACATTCATCCTTCAACAATTCCCAAAGATTCACTGAGAGAGAGAAAAAAAAATCACACTCACTGTGCCAGAAACTCAAAGCTTCCTTACCATCTCATTATAGCAAGTAGCTGACAAGTGTAAAATGATCATCTGAAGCCCCCAAACCAAACCCCAAATTTTTCCATTAGCGACCCACCTCCCAGGATAAAGAGGGTATGGTGGGAAAATCAGTATTTGCCCACAATTCAAAGTTGTGGCTAGAACAACTCTGAAAAAGCATCGGCTGCATCATGAGAAGACCACATGAATTGGACCTAAACGCGAGATCCATACCCTTAACAGATGGCACCCACCGTATTTCAAATGCCAATCAGCAGGGTGGTGAAAAAGTTCATTTAACCCGTCCCTCTTCATGACACGGATGGGGTGGGTGGTGGGGGAAGCCAAACCTATTATATAGCGAGGCTTATCAAAATGTTTAGAGGCCTTGAAGAGGACTCTTTAAAAACAAGCATTTTCACTATGCAGAGATGGAAAAACAGCCCACATACCCCAGGCCTTTGAAGTTTTTTAAAATTTTTGCAAGTTCCAGAGGGAGGTATTTCACTTAAAGTGAATGGCCTTCAAAGTTTGGGTTGTTTCGGGTTTGAGTAGTATTGCATTTGAGAAGAACACTGTTACGCGGGAAGAAAGTGGCATTTAGGATGGAAGACAGACATTCAAGGAAAGGGGTTAACATGTAACCAACGTATAATTTACAATATTGTCTCAGTATAGTGTTTATCACCTATAGTTTCTCTTTCTCCCTCTCTCATCTTTTTAAAATTTCAGCTGCATTAACCAAGTACCTTTAAAGTTTAATATAGACAATGTCTTGATTAGGAAATGGATATGAGAGATCTTCTAGGATACCAAGCTTTTAATAATGTACTAGGACTTATTAGTCATACGATATTTGTTGGCTGTCTTCCCGTACTTTACTCTTCGTATTTGGCTTTGTCATCTGTATTATTTATTCCTCTCCACCTGCATTTGTCTCATTTTTTTCTTGTATTCTTTCAACGACAGCAATAACAGTAGAAAGGGAGGGGGTTACATCCTGGCTGCTTACGTTCTGCCAAAATAAATCCCAGTTTCTTTTACTCTGATCCAGTTTGCCCAACCACCTCTGGAAGGAATGAAAACATGAGAATCTGCCCTTCTGTTTTGTTCTGGGGGGCACCTGGAAGTGGAAGGCTGCTGAAGCTGACAATTACAACCTACTCCTGAAACGAAGGCTTTGAAAGGTTACAGGAACAAGCTACTGTTGCAGCTGACCCAGCTTCCTTACCCAGGAGCTGTTTTCTGGAAGCCCCTCTAATATCCATTCAGGGAATGGACATCTGGATGATCCTCTCAGAAAAATGGAAGTCAACCCATACTCAGCTGGGTGGCTAAATCAGCAATGCTCCAACACGAGATTGTGGACAAGATCTGTTGATCAAGCTAAGGTACGTGAACCTTGGTGCAGCCCATCCCGGCCTCTCTCCTGCACCCTCAAATTGACGAAAAATGCTGATTTTTTTTTTTCCAGCTCCACCAGGGGAAAGAAGTGACCTCCTGCAGAAAAATCGGGAAATCCACCCGTTTCCCTCCACTTACTGTCAATAATGTCCCCAAGCCCTTGAGCGCGAAGTAGATCTTTGAGCCGGGTGACTTCTTCCTTCAGCTCCCGCACCAACTTGGCATTCGGATCCTCATTGATCACTGCATTGCATTTGATCTGCTTTGCTCGATCTGCATACCTGGATGGATCAGTTTGTTTAGATAACACAACAGCAATAGCGTATGTATAAATATCTTAACTGGGCAATGCTCAAGAATCTTAGAAGACAGACTCTGAGGGCTTCTATCTAGATCAGTGTTTCTCAACCTTGGCAACTTGTTGAAGTCCACATATCTTAAAGTTGCCAAGGTTGAGAAACACTGATCTAGATCTTTGTAAGAACTGCAGCTGTTCCTTTCACTATTAATGTTAGTGTCTCTCAAAGGGCCCTGTGGGTGAACAGGTGGGAGATAAGCCATAGAAATAAGTAGATTAAATCAAGTAGGAATAAAGCCATCCCCAATTCACTCAATTGCTCTACAAGCTCAAGCCACATTGCATAAAACAGGGGAGGAAATGTGGAACAGAAAGCCTAACCTTTTAAAATCCCATTCAATACCTTAATGTGCTCAATGTTTCATCATAGTTTATGTCTGCTGGGCTCAGAGCAGCCACCATGGCAGTTCTGGAGTTGCCACCTATGAGGCAGAAAAGGCAATCAGAAGATCAACTTTGACTGCCAAGGCATGAAAATACTCAGCACAAATGCACCACAAACATGTCCATAATTAGGATGTGGGAAGGCCACTAAAAGACCAGATGGAATTGGGAATTTTAAAAAATACATTTCTGTATCATAACAATATTGTTGTACAAGGTCGATACCAACTGGGTATCAGAAGTGGACCTAGAATCCCATTTCAGATAAGCCAGGGTTCATTTCTTCAAGGCTTGTTGAACAAGCCACAGTTGATTGTGTTTACACATCAAGCTAAAACACGCGATTGCTTAGAAATCAGATTAGTGGCGTTCACATAGCACACAAGACCAAAATCAAAGAAGTCACACCACAGCTTAGTGAGTTATGCGAATGCCGCTCTGACATTTGCCAAGGTTAAGAAAGAAAATTGCACATTCTTATTCTCCCTCGGTCCCAGAAACTTCTCCCTAGACCGAATATCATCTGACCAGTGAGAAGTTACAATCCCAATTTTTTCCACTCCGGAGCCATGATGACTAGAACCTTGCTTTGGAAACACAGCTGATAAAACCAACATTTTTAGAGCGTCTGGGAGAAACGGAACCAACGTCCTGGCTTCAATGGCCAGGACTTTTCAAAAGATCTAGGCCTCATGAACTACAGTCTGCTGCTTCACCGGAGGGGGACACTATTTGCAGAGAGAACGACCACATATAAAATAATTGAAGGAAATGGTTATTCAGACTGAAACGTTAAAAATGAATGGAAAAGGGCATCTCGACTTTATACCTAGGTTTTCCCGGAGCAGCCACGTCAGCACAGAATCCCTGTATGGAATAAAGTCCGTTTTCTTCTTCTTCTTACTCTGCAAAAGGACATTTCATCCTTAAGAGTCTGTTACCATCAAAGACACCGGCGTAACGGTGCACCCAAGCTGGTGACCTGCCACTTCTACAGAACTGTATGTGAAGCCGGGACCTTGTGGAGGTGAGGCTAGCGAGAAGGTAACACTTGAGCAGGCTTAGTCTCAAAGGATTTTTTTTCTTTAAACCGTTCAGACATAAAAAGTGCCCCTCCTTAATTAGGCAGAAGATCTGAACTTGCGAACTGTTTTTGGCACAGGTATGAAAACTGGGAACGGCAAGCACCAGCTTAGAAGAGGCATTCGCACCTTGCTGAGAGAGAAAAGGAAGAATGCTCTTTTTAGGAAAGCGTCTACTGCAATGCACCAGGTTATTTTCCCCCACATTCGTCAAGGTGACGGCGCTGCATTGATCGACCACGTTATCCGAGTGACATGGCACCCCCGGGTAGAAATGAAGAGGAGGGGGCAGAAAGGGGGGAAGGGAGGACAAATCAAATCAAAGGCAATCTTGCTCCGTGTTCTCCTCTCTCTCTCTCTCCCTCCCCGCAAATTGAGCAGCAGTCAATTGTCAGGAAGGAAACACATTTTGAAAGCGCTCTCAGTTTAAAATATTTTTTTTAAAAAATGATTTTATAGCACGGAAGGGCTGATGCTCAAGAAACACAAGCCTAGAGCCCTCCCTCCTATGTGCACGGAGCTGGCTACGGTTTTCCTTGGATCCTGGCCATGGATCCGATGGGGTTAGCCAAAAGGCAGCTGATGAGCCTAATCAGGCCCAAGAACAGATGCCTCGCTGCAAAACAAAGAAAGAAAATCCTATGGAAAAATCTGTTTTGAGAGAAAGAGGGAGAAACCATTATTCTAAGTATGCCTGAACGCACATACCGTGTAACAAGACAGCCCCGGACATTGAAGGACACCCGCCATTGTTATAGAAGTGAGCCACGTGTGATCAGGTGACATATTTTGCTCCATTTTCTGAAGCAGAGAGTGCTCTCTCTCCATGACTATCCTTGAAATACCAAAACGTGAGTATCCTTGAAACGCACGGATTGTGCAAAGAAAATATAGAGAGTCCTCGGTTTAAGAACAAGTTCCGTTCCCAAGGTCTGTCCTTAAGTCGAATTTGTACATAAGCTGGAATAGTATTATTGTATACTACTGTATAAGTAGTATTGTATAATTAAACCAGATCATTGAGTATTTAACTCGAATTTTGCTACAATAGGCTCCTTTCTTAACTATGGGTTGTCCAGAAACCAGGCGTTCTTAACCCGGGGACTACTGCATAAAAGAATAGCATTTTCTTTGGAGTGGCAGGATTTCTCCAGCTGCTACCAAAATCCCTGCTTCGAGAAAGCTGGTCTAGAATTTTGCTCCCTGGCAAACTAGTTTTCATTCTTACATGTGCAATCAGAAAGGGTGCAACTGCTCAAGGATACTGCCATGACCAATCCATCAAAACTGATCCTATTTACGGTCCGAGAGCAAACACCATAAAAGGAGTCCATTGCTGTTTCCGCAATTCATCCCAATCTTTAAGACAGGCATCTTTGGAACGCTAGAGAGGATAAGATGGGTGGGATTCTGTTTTCTTTAGAAGTTAATTCCTATCTAGAGACCAACAGTGTCTACAAGCTACCATATTCAGTGACTATGCTTTGCCCATCATACCTTGCTGGTGCAGTTATCCTACGTTTGGAAGCAGGGAATGGAGAAAAGAAGATAAGGTAAGCTAAGACAACAAGAGGCAATTTTATATCAGTAACAGAGTCAGACATGATATTCCACTGTCATTTTTCCAAAGAAGCAAATCAGTTAGTCTTACCTCCCATCACCCTAAAATGCAAACAATCCGTATCATAAATCTGGGTAGCTATGAAAAGCAACTCCAGCCTTACTGTAGACAGGAAGCTTTATGAGAGAGGAAACAGGAAGGGCTTCAGCCAAGTAAAATAAGGAACATAAAGGGGGCAAAGAAGAGGAGCCACCGCATACATCAAGTTCCAATAGACTATATGGAGGTCTAGGTTGAACCGCTAGGTCACATCATCAGTATATTGATCCACAGCGCATTGATGCACCGATGTTGTTACCTAGCCTGGAAGTGAAATTCTGCAGGAAAACAAGCAAGCTCAGAGAACACCAAGAACCCAGCGTGCACAGGAAGCTCCAGGACCAGATATAATCCCACATGGGTAGACACGACCACACTGCACATCTAGATATCGGAATAGTTTTTTCCCTTGTGCCATTGCTCTGTTAAACACTACATGAC